TGCTACCCAATTCTACTCTGTTGGATTGTTAGGCCCTGGATATGTGCTGTACCCGTGCACCTCAGAGCCTCTGCTTATACTGTCCTATCAAAGGAAATGTTTTCTTTCCCTCCTTCCATTTACTTTGTTAGTGCCTTAAATTGAAGTTTACTCTTTCTTCCCTTACTCAGGCCATGGTCATGCTCAGGTCCATCTTGTTCCAAAAAAACTTCCTTTGACCTTGTTCTCACTTAGTTTTTCTGAAATTTAACCGCTTTCATTTTGTCACTATCTAGTTAACTCAACTATTTTCCTTTTGTTTCCATTACTTTCCCCAAACTGTTCTTTTAAAGATGGGCCATGACCTCCTGCTAGTAGCGTTTTTAAGAGGTGTAATGGTGTGGTGGTAAAGAGCTAAATGCTGGAGACAAACTAACATTTTCTAATCTTCACAATGCCCTCTAGTCCTCGCCCCCTCCTTTCTGATTTTTTTTTTTTTTTCAAACCACCCATCTGCTTGGACCTTTGCAACTTATTTTCCATTGCTACCCAATTCTACTCTGTTGGATTGTTAGGCCCTGGATATGTGCTGTACCCGTGCACCTCAGAGCCTCTGCTTATACTGTCCTATCAAAGGAAATGTTTTCTTTCTCTCCTTCCATTTACCTTGTTAGTGCCTTAAATTGAAGTTTACTCTTTCCTCCCTTACTCAGGCCATGGTCATGCTCAGGTCCATCTTGTTCCAAAAAAACTTCCTTTGACCTTGTTCTCACTTAGTTTTTCTGAAATTTAACCGCTTTCATTTTGTCACTATCTAGTTAACTCAACTATTTTCCTTTTGTTTCCATTACTTTCCCCAAACTGTTCTTTTAAAGATGGGCCATGACCTCCTGCTAGTAGCGTTTTTAAGAGGTGTAATGGTGTGGTGGTAAAGAGCTAAATGCTGGAGACAAACTATGGGTTTGTGGCTCTACCACTTGTTAGTAACTATGTGATCTTGAGCAAGTTAACTCCATGCTTCAATTTCTTTATCTGTGAAATGGGAATAATATTAGTACCTACCTTATAGGGTTACTTGTAAGGATTAAATAGGTTAGTGTATGTAAAGCTCTTCTCAGGATGCCTGGCAGACTATTCACTGAATATCTGTTTTTTGTTTTTTTTTAAGCTATTGTTTCTTAGTTTTTGTTTTTAGCCTCTTTGGCATTTGACATGGTCGACGGTTTCCCCTTCCTCCTTCAATGTGTTCAAGCTCAGACTAATTTATCTTGTGGTCTTTTATCTGTGTGTCTCCTATTTGTGGTCTGTCTCCACATCCGCATCTGAACTTCACTTTATCTCCTTTCTAGATAATTTTTCCTGTGGTAATTTATCACCATAGTTCCCACTTTTACTTTGATATGAATGTCTCCCCAAATTGTACTTCTAGCTCCTCTTTCTTAGCTCAGTCTTATATTTATGACTTCGTGCCAGAATGCCTAACCAACATGATTTCCCTCAATATCGGCTCTTCACTTGGCTTACCTTTTGTTAAGGATAATGTGGCAGTGTGTCATAACGGTTAGGAATGTGATCACAGGATCAGAGAGATGTGTTTGAGTCTTTCATAGCTCAGGAAAACTTTCCAAATCACTGTATTCTGGCACATAATCTTTGTCTTGGATACTTACCGTGCTTTCACTGAACAAAGCTGGATGTAGAAAGGGGCGGGGAGACCAAATAATAGCAGGTGCACTGCTTAGTTTTCTTAAGTTGAGAATGAGGCAAGTTCATAAATTTCTTTCCTCATAAACCCAGGATAGGATGCCTAGAAGCTGTTGAAAACTGTTGATTTTTAAAGGGTTTTTTTTTTTTTTTCTTAAGTTGTGGTTTTTCTTCCCCTGGAAAGTAGAACTGATAAATAAGTTAAATTTATGTCTCACAATGCAGAAGCAAATCGCAGATTAAATTAGAGAACACATGGCATGATTTTAATTAAGCAATGTTAGTTTTTAGTGTATTTCTGAGTTGTGTTGAGACCAGAGGGCAAGGCTGGGAAAGATTTCTCTATTTGTTTTCTGAGATGTAGTTTCTTGTAAGTTGAAATAGAAATTTTAGACAAGGGTTTCCTCTAATTTATTAGCTTGCCAATAAGACATCACATTTTACATTAATGATATTAGGCACATAGTTACTTGAGTGTGGGTTAACTTATGGGTTAAGTTTTATGATATTTGGAAATCAGACGGTCAGACCATTCTCCTGCTGGTTTAGTGTGCCTAGCAGCACTTTGACACATCATGTTCTTCCTGTTAGCATTTAAACACAGCTTCATGCCCTAATGGGTTTTGATCTTTAGGGATTAAACCCATGAGGACCATTAACCTAAGGAATGTAACTCAATTAGCTGTACATGATTTAAAATAAACTAATAGATTTCCCATTTGGAGAGGTTGGTGTCTCACTTTCCGATAGTTTTCTCCATTGATCTAGTGAATAGTAGATGCATTCTTTTTATCTTTTTCTTTCTTTCTTTCTTCTTTTTTTTTTTTTACGGTAAAAGGCTTTATTACTCAGGATCAGCCCAAAGTCTGACACTGACACAAACAGGGATAATTATTATCTCATTACATTTGACTTTTGGCACCCATTTGAAGTACTAGTTTTCCAAGTGGGACACGGTACACCCAGTAGATACTCAGCAGCTTTTGACAGCCACATTTACCTGAGTATCACTGAGTAGAGGTGTCAGGAGATGTGCAAGGATACAAAGAACAAAATCATCTATTTTAGTTGTCTTTTTCATTTTCAAGGATCCTTTTCTCCACTGGCTTTCAAATCAAGAGAGAGAGAGCATTCATTATTGGCAGGTATTGTCATAAATAACAGCTACCCACAGCTAACAAAGATGCATTATTTAGGTAAATAGTTCACCTTTGTCACAGGTGCCATCAGTAATCATTTTATTTTCTTAACAGTGTTGTAACCTGATAGTTTGAAAGTTTTAGGAAAATTTGACTTCGATTAATTTTTTCTATCCAGATCTTTTTCTTGCTACTTAAATTTGACTTGGTTTCAAGATGTCGAACAATTTTCTTTATATGAGTAGGTACATTAATTAAAATCAAAAGCTATTTTGTTAAAAAAAATTCTGGTTTCAGGACACACAGTAATGTGCATACATTTTTACCAAGCATATTCTTGCTTAGGTCAGTACTGTTTTCTGAAGTCTGAGAAACAATATTGGCCTTGGTTTGACCTTTGGCTTAGTTCTGCTACTTCAAGATGTCTTCTTTTTACATTTTGATGTAGAACAAATATAAAGATGTATACTTCACTGCTAAGAAGTTTCTTGTATACCTTTAGGGTTAAGTGATACAAGGTGTTGTAAACAAATTGGTGTTAGTAATCTACTTGATGGTTTTTTTTTCCTGCATAATTTCAGTTGAATTGAGATCTTGGTTTAGGTAGAATTGCTAATGTTAGTTTGGCTTTTATTAAACATTTTCCCATAGTTTTGGTTGGCTATTCTTTTTGTTTTTCACTTTGTCTCTTTTCTTTTTTTAAAGTCCACTCAAGAGTAAAAACGTAGTAAAAACGTGTGGTGTTTGTGACCCAGTATCATAAATTCAAGCCTAAACAAGTTAAATCTAATTATAGGACTGCTTTCTAGAGAGAGTGTAAACATGCTCTTAAAAATAAAGTAATGCTTATATGAAACCTGGATTTCTGTTTCTCCATTATGAATTGAAGGTGACAGGAAAAGTGTTATTTTACTCTGCTTCTCTACTGGTTTTATTTACTTTGTGCTCATTTGTAATTTGAGCAAGTTCTAGTTTACATAAAAAATAGGAAAGGAGGTAGTAAACAATACATTTTGCTCATCATTTTCTACTATCTTGAGGAAGTAGAACAGGGCCCAGAAAATTAGCTGTCATTTTCAGTGTTTTCATTTGGCATTCATTTTTCAAGAATATCATGACTGTTCAGAGATAGCTTATCTTAAAATTGAGTCATTAAGCCTTGCACTTTCTTGGTTTTCTCATGATGATGAGCCTCCTTCTCTTGTCTGAATGGAGTTTATTATTTTCGGGTTTTATGCTTGGAAAATTTAGAGTAAAAGGGGCTTTAGAGAACATCTAGTGTAATGTTGCCTTTTTTAGATGAGGACACTGAGATCTAGTCAGTTGCCCAAAGTTATGCACTGCTCTAGCAGAATCAGGACCAAGAAAGAAAGGATCTTTTGACTTTAGTTCTGTGCCTCTCTGAGGAGGTGTGGCATCTCAAAAGGCAGAGATTTTTGTAATCTTTGTCAATCTACCAGTTTCTCCCAAAAGAAGACATTAAGGGCTTGTTTTTGAAGCACTTACCACGAAGAATAAAACTGACCAACTTGGAAAATGCCCATTCGATTTCATCTGCTTTTATAATCTTGATAGGTAGAATTGTGATATAAAGGGAGTATAAAAGTTCAAGTAATAAACTCTTAGGAATTATCAAAATAGATAATGGATTCTAGATAATCCTGCCCCACACCAACCTAACACATTGACAGTTTGCAGGAATATCCATATTAGATATTATGGTGATTTATGGTGATTTATGATGTATTTATAAGAACGTAAAGAATCCTCACCTTGGTGGAGGTTTTGGTTTGGGGGAATTAATATAGAATTAGAGGAAGTGAATTTTATAACTATATGATTGCATATTTGTAATAAAATTCCTCTTTGAAGTTTCTAAGTATATGTATAGTGGAAAATCATTTATCAATAAAGAAGTTCATTATTTCAGTTTGTTCATTTAGTCTCATTCTATTTGATGTTACTACTTTATTTTTTTCATCTTTATTGTTTAAAAAAACCGTTTTTGTAAATTTTTGATAATGGGAAATAGTGATTTTATGTTTATGTATTCCCTTTGGACATCCTAATTGAGTCAGTTTGGGTTTATTGTGCAATGTCCCCAATCTGAATATTTTATTAAATTAAAAAAAAAGCATAACTGAATCATGAGATTCTCTGTCTCTCTTTTTTTAATAGCCAACACATATCTCTTTATGGTACAAGCTCGAGGAATAATGTTGAGAGAAAATGTGAAAACAATAGGACATATGATCAGGCTTTACACGAATAAAAATACTACCCTCAACGGTACAGGTAAGATTGCTTCCTGCTTAATCTCAGTACAGGTAAAATTGCTTCCTGCTTAATCTCACTTTGCTGCTGCTGCTTATTATCCCTGTAGTCTAAGGCAGGAAACCGAATCTCTCAAACTCTGGTTTTGCCTCCAGCTAACTTCCTGTTAAAGGTGAAGGTATCTCCTGCCAAGTGTACTGGGAAGTTCTTTTACTGCTTGAGCCAGGACTGTTAGGTATCCTGTCTATTCTAGGACATATGAAGGTATGGGCAGAAAGGTAATGAGGATTTTGTACAAAGATATTTAAGTTTCTTGAAAACATAGGTTAAACACAATAGAAAAGCAGCTTGTACTTTTTGAATATACCTATTGTATTTAAGAGAAAATTACTACAAAATGAATAATTTGTTCATTTTCGCCATTCTGCCCCCTTTCTTTATGTTCATTTTAATTCTTAAAATGTTTTTCTATGTCTAGAAAATACTTACTGTTTTTAATTATAGAAGGTTCTTACTAATTTAGTAGACTTTTTAGGGGCTAAAGGAGAGATTATATAAAATTAGAAATCAGTAGCTGCTCCGTCTTTTTAAAATATTGTGTAAAAGATGATGATCCATTAGAACCACATAAAGGTTAATATTTAAGTAATAGGCCAAACTACTGATTTAATGATGGTGGAATTGATGTAAATAGGTTTAACTATTGTGGGAGAATGATTATGGTCCTCTATGGCAGTGTTTCCACATTGTCTCTTGAGGTGTTACTTCAAAGCGTTCGACGGCTGATTGTCAGTTTTTGCATCCTCTGTATTCTCATTTTAAAAACTTAAAATTAAAGAATTAAATTGTGTCAACAGTTCTTCATGGTGCCACTGTAAACTACACACACATACCACACACAGACACCACTAATAGGAAGTTCTTATCTCCCAACTATATATGTTTTTTCTTAAAATGCATGTTAAGGTGGGTAATAGTTTTAGACTCTTCTAAAAATTTAAGACTGTAACATATTGATTTTTTTTAATTTAAATTCATACATGCTTCTACAAAATCCTTTATAGTCATTTGCCTAAATTGTATTATGGTGCCACAAATCAAGACAGTTTTATTTGTTTTCTCCCTTTTAATTTTAAAGAAATTTCTTTTAGAAAGACTGTCTCGTAGTGATATTTTAATAGTACAGTCAGTCTCATTAACTGGTCTTCTGCATTAATTGGTCTTCTGAATAGTATCTCAATTTTAGGAGAAATTTCAACATTTTACAAGCTGCTTTAGGACTTGTCCAGGTTGAAAAAGTTGACTGTGAAAGTGTTAATTAAAAGTTCATTCAACCGAACGGAGATATTAAGCATCTTTAGTTTACTCTGTATAAGTAGTACTAAAAATCTGTGCGTAATCAGGTTCTTTTCCTGGAGTTTGAACAAGTTATATGTGTGAATGTTAAGCATAGTTAAGAGAACTGATTATTTGGACAAGATGAACTTTCCCCTCAGCTTCCTGCAACTGAAAAGGAAAAAAAAAAAAAAAAGGAAATCCTCTTTTCCCTTCACCAAGTCATAGTTTGAATAAAGACTGACTAGCCAATACATACTTAGATTAAAGTTTGCTCCTAAAACTTCTCTTAAACTGTTCTCAGGAGACCGGGTTTGGTTGTAAGAGAGACCCACCTATGATGCTTTAAATATAAAGGTTATGTTCTTCTGCAAGAGAAGTTTAAGTTGAATACCTGTGGCTTTTGTGGAGAAAGTCTTTACACGCTTTCCATCATCTGCTCTGTCATGTGGCTTCACAGTCTAAGGTGGCTGCCAGGGCTCCATCAGTAAGGAGGAGAGGAAGAAGGAAGAAGAACAAAGAAGAACAAAAGAGTGCCCCTTTTAGGGAGGCTCACTGAAAGCCCCACACAGCATTACTGCTTAAATTTCATTGGCCAGAACTTAGTTGTGAGGGCACTGGGAATTATAGTCTTTGAGCTAGCTCACTGGTGCTTTGAATGAAATTGGGTTCTGTTACCTAGGGAGAAAAGGAAAAGGGAGTCTGAGTAGACAGCTATGAGGCTCTGCCATTTCACCTATATTGAACAATTAGTATAGTTAGTATACTTACCTAGATACTGAGGATACAACATTAAGAAAAACACTCTCTTTATATGAGGATCTCTAGGCTTCTGGAAGAGATGGATGCAGAAATAATTATTTATAAGGCAATTGTTTATTTCTGTACAGACTTACACAAATATAATCTGTGAAAAAGGAGATAATGGCCAATAAGATATACAAAGTGCTAATCGAATTCTAGGGGAGAATTGGTTAACATGTACCGGCTCATTTAAAATTTAATACTTAGATTAGATCTTCAAAGTTATTAGTACAAAAAAATAAATTTGTAACTATGTGAGGTGATGGATTTTAACTTTTTGTGGTAATTATTTTGCAACATATACATATATCAAATTATGTCGTACGCTTTAAACTAATGCAATGTTATATGTCAATAAAAGTAGCTTACAAAAGATAAAATTGAACACCTAATGGCAAATAGGTTGTGATATTCATGAGTACATTTGATTTCAAAATGGGGTTTATAACCCTGTACCTGACTTTCTGAAGCATTAAGTGTAAGTATACACCTACACACACACACACACACGCACGCACACACACACACACGTATATATAAAGAAATCACATACTCTCATAATCAAATGGTGTTTTGTCTTGTAGCTATGGACTCAAGAAAACAAGATGTATTCAGTGAATAATTACCAAAGCAGATGATAAGGGTCATGCAATGTTAGAGCTGGTAGGGTTGTTAGAAGTAACCCAGCACACTTATTTAATGGGGTGCATGCTCCAATGCCCTCAGACACTGCCAGACTGACATGACAAGCTAGTGGAAAACAGACTAGAACTCTCACTGAGTTTCTATTACCAATTTAAACTGTCCTTTTGCAGGAAAAACAAAGCCCTCGAGAGGTCTCCTTCGTCCTGTTCTCCTTTTACCTTAGGTGATAAGGTCTAGTGAGAGCTGGGGAGGGGACCTGTCTGGCAGTTTTCATTCTGTGCTTCTTTCATTCAGGTGTGGCTCTGGAAGGGCAAAAGAAGGCAGGGGGCCCAGAACACATGTTTCATCCATTCATTAGATGAAATAATGTCTACCTTTTAGAACAGTTGTGGTGGGTCAGTCTCAAATGCATCTATTACACATGTTAAAACTAATCCCAATTTTGAAAACAGTGGTTATACTCGATGGACCTAACCATTTTGTAGGAATATGATTTTGTGGGTTTATTACAATATAGTCCCCAGAACCTTAAATCATTGTTAGCTGTACTATCAGTTGTGAAGTGTTCATTTGCAGTAAATTTCTACTCTGTTGTAGGTGCTTTATCAGATACTAGAAATAAGAGGCAATTGATTTCAGAAAAGAGGTGTTTGGACTAGTGGCAGAGGGCCAGGGTGGATAGACTTGTATACAAAATACATTGGGATAATGTAAATGCCCCTGGACACAGTACTCATGGAGTGCAGAGATGTTTGTGTAAGTCTGGCCATGAGTTGAGATCCTTATGATTATTCATAATGATGTGGCTAAGAATAACACATTTAACTCCAAAACATTGTTAATGTATACTGATATTGCATGTCTTTAAGGTTTTAAAAAAAAATGTTGTGTTTTAAAAACTGATAAAAGTAATGCATTGGTTCTTTTGTGAAAGATTCAGTCCTCCTCACACTAAAATAAAAAGAGAAACAGTCCTCTGGCCCTCCTGTTGCCACCAACTCCCTGGGGAGCTAACATTTTGTTTGACAGAAATGTCGAGAGAGCTCAGAATTTTTCTGAGTCGAATGTGGATTTATAGACCCCACGGGGTGTGGCTAAGAGAAGGGGCTCCAGCATTAATGACAAAAATTAACAAATTATGCAGATTAAGAAAATACTCTGAAGTTAACGACATGACATTAAGGACTGCATGAGAATGTTAATATTTATCTGCCTCAGGATGATAAGAAAACGAGTCTTGGAACACATAAAGGCAGTGGCTCTAAGGGACAGCCTTGTTTATATTCTGTTTTCAGCTCCTGCAAATACATAGTGTGCAGTAGATGCTTAGCTAGCATAGCAAGAGTCCCCAGCAAAGGAGAAAATTTTTTTGGAATCTAACTTTAAATTTGTACATATCTAGATATATTTTTATAAAGCATCTTAAAGAAAGAATCAGAACTTCCTTAGACTTCCTTACATTTATTTTGTTTAGTATCTTTAAATCTTCCAGATATTTATGGGTGAGATTGAGATTATGGGCTACTGGGGGGATTTTTGTGGTGTTAGTCTGTCTCTGGACATACAAAACAATATCTACTGAGTCCCCATCCCCTTTGGGTTGGAGGATTTTCCTTGTCAAGTGCTTTCCAGGGCTCCTCCAGAGAAAGGCGTTAGAAGATTCTCTTCCTGGGGCTTTCCTACTTCCTGGTGAAATAGGCCTTAGCAGTTGTACCAGCATTGGTCCCTATTTGTCATGTTTGGGTTTTGGTAGTACAGTTACCTTAAAACCTTGCTAATGCCCTGCCAGATTTCTAAATAGATTTCTGTGCAGTTCTTTGGAATTGGATCTTCTTCTCTAGCTTCTGTCTCTTCCTTGGTACCAGATCCCTAGAAACCTCTGCTTAGCAGCCTCTGCAGGGCCCCTTACAACCGGTAGGGCTGGAGGTGGGGTGAGTCTCTTTGCTCTGAAGTGCTATTCTGGCTCCCAGGCTGCATCCCATCTCCATCAACTCTACATTGATGAATGAATGAATACTTATGGTAGACAAAGGTGTACAAAGGAGGTGTTTAGTTTTTTTTGACTCTTCTCATATACTTCATATTGAATTTCCAGGATTCTACCATTTTTTCACAGTGAGAGGGTTTCGCTTTTACAGTTCAAGAAAGTATATGATTTTGACCCTCAGCCTTTTTTGCTTGCTGGTTACTGGCAGACAGGCCTGTTCTCCTCTTTCCTATCTCTTTTCATGCAGGCTAGTTCAGATAGAAATATTTCTTATCAGAGCAGATTACTGAAGATTGAAGGACTATCTTCCTGTTTTCCTGAAGTGTCTGTTAGAGCTTCATTTTCTGGGTGTACATGGTATGTGATCCAGAAGACAGACAGTAGTTTAATCAGCTGTTTCCATCTCTTGTTTCTTACTACATTTTAGTTTCATTCTTTTAGATCAGCTTCCTCTTACATAGCAGGAAACTGGCAGGTCATGGTTCCCAGATTTGCATCTCAGAACTTTGTTCCAGAAAGGGACCGAAATGTGATCTCTTTGGCTCCATGTTTAAGACTCTTAAGGCTCTGACTGTCCTAGGTTGGGTCAGGTGTTCATTTCTAAACCAATTGCTCATATCTACAGTTATTGAATATTGAGTATGTATGTGGGCCAGGGATTATTCTAAGTACTTTATGCGTTTATCTTATTGAAATCTGAAAATGACAATACGAGGTGGGCACAGATGAGAAACCATGTTGTCTTGCCCTGGATCACAAAGCTCGTGTGTGTTGGAGCAAGGATTTGAACTCAGCATTTCACTTTGGGCCGCTAAACCAACGCCTTCTATGCTTTATAACTGGCTGATTCTAAAGACAATGTAATAATAGCTTCAGGGCTTCCTAGGGACTGCAGCCCACAGGTTGGAAATGACTAATTTAAAGATTTAAAATGGGCTATGTTACAGAAGTAAGTAGTGTGGGTAAATCTCAGTTTCCTGAGTGTGGGGTGGTGAGAAAACATTACTCCCACCTCTGTGCTCTGTGGATGCTAGAAGCAGCACTGTGTCTGTGTGATGGTCCTGAATACCCTTGGCTGTTTGGTAGTAGAGAGGATTCCTGGAGCCCCTGGGGTACTGTCACACTCTCTTTCAGTCCAGCTCAGCCAGGGGAGGGATGGGAGCAGGTGCTCTCATATGGTCGCAAATGGGCTGGCTCTGTATGTCTGCAGAGAGCCAGACTGCTCTGTATGTCTGCAGAGGCCAGACTGCTTTCTAGACTTGTCCCAGGGTTCTCCTGGGAAATCTTGCTGAGCGGTCCATTCTGGAGCAGTGAATGATAAATGGGAGAGTAGCCATGGCAGCTGCATTTTGTTTTTCGATAGTTCTTTAGAGGTCACTGCTTTTAAGTACTTCTGTAGATTGCATATTGCAGACCTTCTCACAGTGACGGTGACATATTTCATTTACTAGCAGCAAAGCAAAGGGCAATTTTCTGGTTGTAACTTTTTTCTCTCTCTTCAAGATTATCCTGAAGGCAGTAATTCAAGTGATTATCTTGTTCAAACAACAACATATCTTCCAGAAAACTTCACATATTCGCCATACCTCCCCTGCCCAGAAAAACTACCTTACATGCGTAAGTGTCATCTAATTTTGACTTAACTGTTTGCTTGAATTATAATGAAATAATAAAAATCAGAGCACTAGGCTCAGTTCATTACTGTGAGTGCTAATGTTTGTATTATGTAGCATGTTATTCGATTTTTTTTTTTTTTTGGCAAAGGACTTTTTTGGAGAGGGAGGGGGATTGAAAAGCTGAAGAAAAAACTTACCCTTACCTAGAAGTAACCTCTGTTGTGAGTGTGATGTGTATTCTGACAGGTTATTTTAAAATTATTTTCTACAGAGATGGCTGGATAGATCAAAAATTAAAATGTTTCAGATTTAAGAACTTAATATAAATGATTTTAATTACATTTAATTTTGTAAATTTTTTTTTCTTAACACTTTTTGTGAACTATCCAGGTTGATACAATCTGGATATAGATCTGTTTATTTCTCTTAACTATTGCATAATAGGTCTTTGAATAAATGTACCACATTTCATTTACCTTTTACTTTGCTGATGAAAATTTAGGCTATTTCCACTTTTTTGCTATCACAAAACAGTGCTGTGAAGAACAACATAGTGCACATTTTTCTGTGCACGTGTGTGTATGTTACTGAATGTTCATAGCCACAAGTGGCTATGGCTTGGTGGCGTGCCAGAGCAGCTGTACCAATTTATATCTCCAACACCAAAGCATAAAAGTACCACTTTGAAAAAAAAATGATATCTCATTGTTTCAGCTTCCACTTTCATTGCTAGTGGGTTTAAGTAACTTCAAGTCTTTTTGAATGGTTTTAAATTTTCTCTCTTGTGACTTGCTCAAGAATGTGCTTTATAAGTTCCTTATTGGTTAATTAGATTTTTGTATTGATCAGTAGGAGTTCTTTATATATGTCCTGGCAGTGACCTGTTGTCTGCTTTATGTGTTGTAATAACTTTTTACAGTCCCTGGATTGTCCTTTTATTTTGTTTAAGGAATCTTTTATTTTATAGCAGTTCAAAATTATGTTTTCAAGTGTATCAATCACTTTATTTAAGGTTTTTGTTTTTTTGTCTTAAGAAAGTTTTCCTTCCCTCAACACCATACAAATACTCTTCTTTATTTTCTCTTTTTTTTTTTACAATTTTGTTTTTAACTTTTGTGTATAGTATGAGGTAGGGATCAAGATATTGGACTTTAAATATATATTTTTCAAAATTATGAAGGTAATACATTATCATTTAAAAAAACATTGTAACTCAGAAGCCACATGGCTATTTTGGCTTTTTCTTTGTATGTCCCTCCCCCCATTTTAAGTTTACTTTATACATATGTTTATATCTTGATTTTTATATAATTAAAAATCTAGTAAACATCTTTTTGAATTACTTATTTATCTGTGTTCTAATGTCCTCAGTATCTAAGGATGTTTTGAATGTTTTTACTTGAGTTTTCTTTATTGAGGAAATTAGCCTTTGCCTGCCATATTTGTTAGATTTTTTTCAGTTTATCATTGATAGGTATTATGTATCTATAATAAAAAGAAAGATTCACCTTTTAATACCATCTTAGGCTGTGGTTCTCAAACTTTAGGGTGTATCAGAGTCACCTGGATGGTCTTATAAAACAGATTGCTGAGCCTCACCCTCAGAGTTTCAGATCCATCTAGAGTGGGGTCTAAGAATTTTCATTTCTAACAGGTTCCCTTGTGACATTGATATTAGTGATTCTTGGGTCACGCTTTGATCTAGAGCAGTAGAACTCATTTCTGGCTACACAACAGCCTGAGGGACTTTTATAATTCTTGTGCCCAATCCCTAAATTTCTGATTTTATTGATCTGACATATGGCCTGGGCTTTGCTATTTAAAACAAAAAACTTCCCAGTTGATTTTAATCTTGCTCTCTCCTTGTTGTGTCCCATAATAGAGAATGAAACTATGATTTTTGTGACTGTATATTTGTTATTACTTTGTTATTGCAGCCTTGATTTTCTAAGAATGAATGTTTTTGTCTGTACGGAACTGAAATTGCTGAGTAATGTTCTATTGAAATATTGATTACAATAATTTTATTTTCATAATTTGCATATTCAAAGGTTTTAATTTGAGGAAATATTTCTGTTCTTGATTTAGTTGCCATTTTCTCAATTAGTGCTTTATGAGTACTAATTAAACTGTTTAAGAGCATCTGCCTGCCAGGACTTCCTATTAGCACTCCTCTCCTCCAGTCCTATAATTCATAAATATCTCTGTCACAGTGCTTGAGAGATTGTGTCATGGCTGCAACTCACTGCCTTTTCACTGAGTGTGTTGGTCTTACTGCTCCTTTTCTCTGTTTCTCTCAGAGTCTTGCATTCTTCTACAAGAGAGGGTCACATTTGTTTGGCCAGTCACCTTTTCACAAAAGGCCTCCTCAGGGGCTTCCAGCTCTGGGTCCATCATCAATCCCTTGTCCAGTTAGCTGTGGCCAGAGTGACAGGGTTATTTGGTAGGAAATCTGGCCATATACAGATAACTCCTTAGAAAAGAGCCATGGGCCTAGCCAACATAATGAGGCTTTCTCCAAGTGGGCCTTGCATGAGCCATCCAGGAGAGCCCATTCACTAGTCGTGTGACCTTTGCAAAGTGGAGCCTCAGTTTATCCACATGTAAAATCTGGGATTATAATATCAACTCACTGTGTTGCAAGGATAAATAGAAGTGCTGTGGTTGAAGCTTAACAGAAGTTAATATGACATTCCCTTTCCTTTCCTTCACTTCTTTGAATGATGTAGCTAGTCTTTATAATGAGCAAGGGAATGAGAAACCCAGGAGAAATGTATAGAGTTAGGAGTTTTATAAGCAGCTATGCATCTTTAATTTTTTTAATTAACAGGATTATTTCCCATCAAAGATAGAGAATAGCGTAATAAAATTCCTATGTATAAAATCTTATGATAACATCACACAAAATAATTGAATACGATACCTCCCCAAATAATAGTTAAAGGAAGTCTGTGTAAGAATAAGCTACTTAGATAAAACCATTCAAGTATGAATGATACTTAATTTTCCTATAATCACCAAAACTGAAGTTAAGGCTTAAAATCAATGTGTTTGATTATCTAGATGTAGCTTCTTTTTGATTTTTCTCTAGCGTAGCAATGAGACTACTAGCACTAAATTACTATAAAGATAAAATTTGAACTTTCCAGTTGGAATTCAGATAAAATTGATTTCAAGGGGGTCAGCAATATTTTATATTCAGTCACTTAAACCATACAACTACTTTTAATGTGATTATTTATACAACATAAGTAAATGAATACTTCTTTGTTACTGTTAGTATTTAGAGATTTTTCAGAGGACAGAACACATTCAGCTTTATTAAATTTATGTGAGATTCTCTGTGCTAACAAAGTAAAATAGAAATTTTACTTTATTTAGAGCTAAAAAGCAGTAAATGCTTAGCATAGATATGTTGATATTTCTGGGTGAAGTATAGACAAAAATGTCAGTTGTGCACTTTGCATTAAAATGAAGATAGACTTACCTGCGGTTTTCCTACCTTTTAATTCTTATTCAAATAGAATACATTTGCAATGGCTTTTATATATTCTGTTCTTACTGTTTGTGGAATAGTTCCCTTTATGGGTTAACCCTGATAGTTTCTATAGTTGCTAGCTTTTTAAACATAACAAAAGCTACAAGGAATTTTCGAGATGTTTAAATAATTCAAATGAAAATCGACAAAGAGGGAAAAGATAAGCAAATCAACGTCAGGAAAGCTCAAATGATACTTAATATAACAAACCACTATGCATATATTTATTGTAGAAAAGAGAGATGGGAGCCATTTTAGAGTAAACAAGCAATTTTTGAACTGCGGTTGCACACACAGCGAGCTCTGTCTTGTTCATAGGGGCAGAACGAGGAGAAACAAAGCTGCAGATGATCTCGTGCCTACCAGCTAGAGGAGGTAATGCACTCAGAGAAAGGCAGTGTGCTAATTGTTACACAAGGGCTATTATGGGATGAAAGGAAGACTGCAGTTCATGCTGAAAGGAAAAGGGAGACTTTTGAGAGAGGGGACATTGGCAGTGGTTCTTGGAAGATAATTCAGTAGGTAGGTAAGGGGAACAGTGTCAGAGCACAAGAGGCTCTGTATTCTAGGAATGGAGGCTGGTCCACTTGACTGAGGTGGGGCTTTATAGTGAGGTATGTGAGAAATAAGGCAGGCGAAGGGCCTGTGTAAAGGACTAACCAGTTTGAAGGCTTCGTGGGTTCCATGAATCCCTAGGCATCCATGAGATGGACTTCAGAGGGAGTTGAGCCCCGAAGTATTGTATGCATTTATGGCGTTTTGTTCAATTTATGGCGTTTTGTTCATCCCTCTAAGGCAAGGGCCCCTAACCCCCAGGCTGTGGACTGGTACCACTCTGTGGCCTGTTAGGAACTGGGCCACACAGCAGGAGGTGAATGGCAGGCGTGCGAGTGAAGCTTCATCTGTATTTGCAGCTGCTCTCTAGAGCTAGCATCACTGTCTCAGCTCCACCCCAGATCATCAGGCATTAGATTTTCATAGGAGCATCTGTCCCTGGTGCCAAAAATGTTGGAGACCACTGCTCTAAGATGAGGGTGTAGAGTTTTCAAAGTTCCAGAGGCAAAAAAAAGGTAAAACAGACACAAACAAACAAACAAAAAACCGTGCTTTAGGGAATTTAACATTCATATGCTTTAGGCAGATGAGTAATGTGACTGGGATGGTCCTTCAGAAAGACTATTCTAATGAGAAGCTGAAAAATGGATGAGAATGGGAAAATACTGGAGAATGAAAGACCGATAAGGAGCTTGCTACAAGGGGCTAAGAGGAATGACAAGGGCATATGACAAGGCTGTGGCACTGGAGAGAGGGGGAGGCACCAGAGAAGAGCTCTAGGGATGTTATTGGCCAGATGTGGTGATCAGGGTTAATTTGCAGGTTTCTGGCTTGGTGATTATTAACTGAAACAAGTAATGCAGGATAAATAGCACATTTGGACAATGGAGAAGTTAATGAGTTCATTG